TATATATTTATGATATACCTATAAGCTGTATTGCTTCTGGTTTGAAAAATACTATTAAACATGGGATAAAAAAAACTTGACGGTAGAATGTAAACAAATAATTGAACTGCTGTAACCTACACAAGTTAGAAGTGAATGATATTATAACATACAAAATGAAAGGGATAATCAAGTTCCGAGACGATTGTCTTTTTTGTTTCTCTATTCTTTTTTCTTAATTTTATTTAACGGCTAACCGTTGTGAACACTTTGAAGAATCCCCAAACATATATTTATTACTGACAAAATTGTGCAATTAACGTCCAATTTTGACAAAGTAACAAACGTTTCAAGCCATTGCATAAGACTTATGTTACTTCTTATTGTGGATTTGGGTTTGTCCCATCCTTTGTTTTTAGTTACACATTCTCTCGGTGTGTTCAGGACATATTTTGACTGCTGTTGCCACTATATATCATCGTTGACTGTATTATAAGATCGGTGCTCATTGTAACATCGTCTCTTGTATAATGTAAAAGTCTAAGCCTATTACTTATGCAGATAAAAGTAATCGCAGTAACTTAATATATTTTATTAAGTTTCCCCTTTTCAAAACTTATCTAAGTTAGTAAGGTATTTTTTTTAAAATATTGCAGTTGCTTATTAGATAAATCATAAAAATTTTGATTTATTTTAACACGTTTCGAACCAGTTGGACGGGATTTATTTCAAAATGCACCTTAACACCTTATTAAAGGAACGGTTGTACTGATAACAATCTGCCTGAATGTCTTAATGTTATTGACCTAAATACAATGTAAAGATTTAATAATCCGCAACTAATTTGCTCTGGTTCTTACATTCATAAAATTTGGACCAAATACCTAATCGTTTTAGTATGGGTTTAAACAAAAAATGGAGGATTAAATTCAATATATAGATTCATAGAGAACACACGTGTTTATCAATAAAATATGCATGCATTCAGTATAAGTAATTTATGATATAATAAGGTTTTTGTAAATCTCAATCAAATAACGATTTGATTATAAGTAACTGCTTCAATGATAGAAATTCAGTTTTCCACATAGCATCATTACGATATGAAAACAAACGAATTGCAAAATTCATCACACAATTATATTGATGTTACTAATATTCAAACATTTTCAAGGACTCTCGAGCTCTGTCCTCAGTCTAAGCGAATTTCTTTTAAAAAACTCCTGTATTAATTTGTTTTAATTAATGGACTAACTCAATTTTATCAGATCCATAAAAGTTTTGTTTTCATTTTAGTTCATTAATATATTCAAAATAAGAAATGGAATTTATTTTCTTAGTGTTTGCAATGTTCTATGTTCAGAATTTTGGGTAAGTATGGTTCAAGGTTGTACATTGTCTTTACTTTGCAAACAGTAAAAAAAAAAGTGTACTATTCGTTTGTAAATTTGACATTCTATCATGATTATATAGATCAAAAGAACTTTCCAGAATTTTCTTGTATTTCAGTCTATTATTTTCCTTTTTGTATTCTGAACAAATATTTTCAATCTGGTAAAAAAAAAAGACAACAAAACTAGAAATACTATGAAACTACCACAGCAGATAACTGAACGCTTTTAATACATGACACTACTAATGAAACACTTCAGATGACACAACATGGTAAAGATATTGTGTCAAACTATTCCTTGTGATGAATATTCTGTTCTGTGTGACATCGTCTACACTTAAAATATTTTAATACACAATACTAGTATCAAGAACTAGAGATTGGTAATTGATGAAAACAAATAAAGTGGGTGATCTTTGCATTACACACACAGAAGTTACTTGTATGCTTTGCAAATTTTAAGTGGACACTACTGGGTCTGAATAATGCATTTCATATTTAACCTTAGATAGTCAACTTAGACAACAAATGTAAAGAAGCTGTACACAATGAAAGGGATGCGAAGCAAAGTAGCTTTATATTAAGTCAGGGATTTCGTTCATTACTTAAAACCTTTACTAAATTCTTCCATAGATACAAAGAGTTGGTTTGCAAGTTTGGCTGTATCTGTAGAAAACTTATTTCAAACGGGATAGCACATCCTAATTTTTACGGTGATGTTGTTTACCGACTTCCGACATTTAGATACGATACGGGTAAACTTATCGGTCCTTTAAATAAACTTGTTCTAAAGAGTTACCAATTCAACGCTGTAATACGATCTTTGAATATTGTTTTTATTGGTATAAGTATTGATTTTGTTATCACTAAATTAAAAACATACTAAATATTATTGTTATACACATATGTACATCCACGGTTCTACAATCTGTCGATAACTATTTTATAGCATTGCACAAGGTCATGTTTTCCCCCGACTGTTAATGACATCTTTACACTTAATCCATTGGATGTTGGATGTGTACTGATTGTTATTTTAGTCGTAAATACATGATTTTTCATTAGTTGTTGTTGGCTTTGAACTAGCTGTCATTAACTGCAAGTACTCTCAGATCTGCACTTTGTGTCTTTTTGGTTGGATATATTCCTGCCGCGTCCAGTCTGTGTTTTTGTTACTAGTAGTTGTTTTTCTGCTTTGTATCGATCTCATGTATTCAGCTCTTTCCAACTGATTTTTACAGAATGTTCTTATGTTGTACTGTTATACCACTGTCCTAGGTTAGGGGAAGTGTTTGGTGCCAGCAGACATGCTTAGACCGCCACATTTTTCATGTCCCAAGTCAGGAATCTGTAGTTCAGTGGTTGTCGTTTGTTACTATATATATCATTTTGTTTTTCGTTTATTGTTTTGTACATAAATCAGGCCGTTCATTTTCTGGTTTGAATTGCATGTTTTACATTTGTCATTCGTGTCCTTTTATAGCTTACTATGCAGTATGGGTTTCGCTCATGGTTGAAGGTTGTACGGTAACCTATAGTTGTTACCTTCTACGTCATTTGGTCTCTGGTAGAGAGTTATCTCATTGGCAATTACTTAGTACTTACCACATCGTCTTATTTATATCTACCTAGTATGTTACATAAATTGCACTTCGTACAAAAATATCGAGGTTGTGATCATTTTGAATGATAATGTTTTTTTATACCATTCATTACATAAAATATGTAAATGACATCAATGTACGAGACCTAAACATGCATCTCACGAACAGATCACTTAGGAAAAGCTAAGTATCGAATGCACTACTTTAGAAATTGAATTGCTCATAGAAAACATACAATGTTCGAGAAGCACAATGTAGATCAAGGAGTAGTCCGAAATTGCATGATGATGGCTGCCATCACAAGCGAATGGCCATGTAGACAATATCAAGAACTTAATATATGATTTATAGTTAAGACTTAGATAAACAGGTCGAAAAAATCGGAAAGTGTGACGAACGCCCATTAAGGTAGTATTTTAATAAAAAAAAATCAATATCAGAAAATTCACATAGTCATAAAATTCCAACAAAGAAAAGTCATGAGACTAAAGTTAAGAAAGACAGTCCAATACGTAGCCTATTTGCGTAGGTGGTAGTGAAAATAAACTATGTTGCTGCTTTTTGAACGCTTTAACTCAATTTTATGTATATATATGCTTTTGAATTATTATATATTTTTATTTTCGTTTGCTTCTTATAAGTTTTTTTAAGATTGGACATACCGATGCCACTGGGCTCTAAATCAACTATATATAAAGAACAATTAACTGTAGTTAGATGTAAACTATATGACATGCGCGAATCATCTGTATACTAAATGTATTAAAAATTCCATTTTCGCACTTGTATGCATTAAAAAGCTGATACAAGTGAAATATTTTGTTCATTATTAAACTATTTCTCGCCCACAAATGACATTTTATAAAATATCATATATTACAATATGGAGATCAATAATGTTTGCCCTCGGCCATGAATTTAATTAGAAGCAAATAAACCCATATCAATTCCGGACATGATTAAAGTTTAAAATTTCTTACTTGACAATATTTTTGTTCGTTATAGTAAGATTGTGTTGTCAAAATATAGCAAATCTTAAATATACTATACGTCATAACTATACATGGAAAGACTCAAGAAAGGTAAAATTATAATAAGTCATATTTTTAACATTTTATCTAAAATAGATACATTGAGAAGATGTAACATATTGTTGATAATCCCGCTTTTATTAAACATGCTAAATGTATTTATCCCAAAGAACTTCCGTTTATATAACGCTAGCAGTAACAGTCGGTAATGTCCATTGATATCTAGATATAAAATGAAAAAAAAATAAAACTAAAACATACGAAGGACACGATTTCAACTTCACAGTGACAAACTTTCCTTTTATTTGAATAATTTTGACAGTCGTTATCAGCATCTTATCTTATAATGTGTTTGTCGTTAAACAAAATATTAATTGAAATTTATAAATGAAATACTGCCGATTTGAACTCTTATGAGACTTCATGAAACCTGTTAGTTTTGTTTCTGATTTTTTTACTCGAGCTGAAGTATTCAACCTACAGCTGTGGCTACCTTGATGGCGAGCACATTCTTTTTAAATAAAGTACCGTCATTTATTTCCTTGTTTAAGTTTGGTGTCATCAATACTGTTGGTAGCTGCTCTTTGTAAGTTTTTCCATTACGAGATATGGGGTTTAGACACGAAAAAAAAGAGGTTTGTGTGCACGTAGTTAAACGGATTTAATCCCACCACATGTCGTGCCTGCGTCAAGTCCTACGGCATTCGTTGTTGTGTGTTTGTATACATGTTTTGTTTTGTACTGCTTAGTCCATTACGGTTTTCTTTGTGCAATAAAGTTATGTAAACGTGTTGTTTGTAGGTCAATTTTTCTCGGAAGAGTCCTGTGATGGTGGTTGGCGTGGTCTATTGTACTGTCCAATATTTTTGGTTATTACTATTATCTTTTTTATGTGTTATTGATGATACTGATTACACAAGAACTTATAACTTATTATTATAGATTAGTATGTTACCTGTTTCTTACTTTCTTGAGGGAAAAAATAAGCTAATATAAGAAATAATATTTATTATAAAACAATAACAATATATATATGTGAACATAAAACTGGTAACAATTATATTTGTACCTTGAAAGTTTGCGTGTTAACTTAAAAGAAATCAGGTTGCTTTTTTCTTCTTCTACTTAATTGAAATTTGCCATTTGTCCAAGTGGTGGGCGAAAAACAATGTCTTTATTATAAAGGGACTAATATTACTCAAAACAACATAACTTATGTACATTTTAACAAATAAATAACGCAACGATATTAACAACTAGTAACAAAACATGGAAGAATTGTACAATTTCATATGCACAAAGTCTTAATGAAAATAAGTGGTCGTGTTTTAGAATTGTACGAGGTAGATGTTACCTCTTGTTCAAATTAATTACGTAGATTAAAAAAAAATTCCAATACTGGAAATATCATATTTACTTTAATCAGAAAAAATGCGCTTTTATTAATAAGGAAACAATTATACATTAAACAAGTAGTATTATCCACGAATGGACTTTGTCAATAAAACAAGCTTAAACCTTCATCTGGTGAATGGAATGTTCATGATAAGTGCGGAGATGGCATCCAAAGCACTTTCCATCCCATCTGATAAATTTCTTAAAATAACCACATAACGATTAGCCACCCTATCATCTCTCCGACTATATAAGTATACTCTTTCCAAATTATCCTTATCCGCCACTTTCTGAACCTTATTTTTGGCAAGATTCTGCAGTGAAGCAAAAACACGTATCATTGATTTGTTTCGACATGAAACAACTCATAAATTGTGTAAATGTGACAAACATTCAAAGGACCCATAAGTGTATACAGTTAGTGTTTCATTAATACATACGATTAATTCTAAACAATATAGTGAATTGAAATGGAAATATTGACAAAAAGACACGTTTCGTAATAAGATAGATTGTATCGAAGAACAAGGCGTGACTACTGTATTTAACAAATATTTGGCAATTTTTCAAAATATCATATTGAGGACACCTTCTGTTAAAATTTTAAACAAAGTTAATTTATTGCCTTTATATTTGCAAAACATGTATCTATCTATCGTATTTTATCAAACAATACGTGGAATTTGAAACGTTTTATCTGATTTTGTTAAAAACTGAATCCGTAAGGACATTTAAAATGTATTTCCCGAATGTTATGCTTTATAGGTTCTTTACAACTAAAACACCTGTCACAAAAAAGTTCAATTTCTAATTTACAGAAAAAAACAAAATGAATAAACTCTTCACTTCATTAAAAGTTCAAATAAATATAAATATTTTGAAAATTGGATGTTGTAAATGTAATGCAGCAACTTCAGAAATAGCGTCTTTTCTTTCAGGTGTTATGAAATACTTGTAATATTTTACGCACTGGTGACCAAAATTAACTTATGTAAATGTGATGGATAAAAATAGCAGCAAACCTACACATGTATTAGGTATCATTATTTCTTAATGTTAAGCGCTCCTTTACTTATAAACGATTAAATTCATAATGAAAAAAAATGATTCAAAATTTTCCTTGAACTATTTTCTTTAAACGATCCTTAAATAGTTGCTAAAACAAGTGTCACTACATGTTTTATACAAGTTTATAATAAATATTGTTTGGTATGTGAACATTATAGGTAAATTTGTTTACATTTCTGATGCAGTGCAACCGACTAAATATATTTAAATCAAAGGAATGCACTTCACATGTCAAATATTGATATATCTTTCAAAATAAAACCATATACCGAAAGAAAAGTAGAATTGTTTACATTAAGCTATAAATACATACATAAATATAATTATGATCGTTACATTCTGTCACGATTTCGTTAAAATGCATGCGAAATTAATATCACAAATGTTCCTGAATATTCCACACTGCCATTGTGTGCATGATTTTGATTCTATGCTCATTCTGGGCTCAAAGCCCTCTCTGATATGTCTTAGCACTTTAAGGTTAGGATGGCCCTAGCATGATATTATGTTATATAATATACTATCATATAAATATCGATATAAAATCATTTGTAGTTATACATGGAATGTACACGTCGAACTTCGTTGACTTGGGATCGAGGCGAATACATGTTTTGTGAATTGTTCGTAGATAGAGTTCGCTTCTTGTTAACAACTGCATACACTTGTTCATTTTTCAGTACATGTGATGACATAGATTTATTCAGATTTTCACTAAAAGCATTCCTCTGAAATCGCTGATCTGGCATTGAAGCATTCAAGTTGGTGTTTCTCCAATTCATGCCCCCTTTACGCATTTGTACGGGTTCCTCATTATCATAATCTGGTGGAAGATCATCCAGTCGTTCTGATGTTCTTTCTCCCTTATATATCACGGCGCTTCCGTCGTTAGAAGACGCAGATCCTATACTTCGGTAGCTGTAATTTGAATGGAACGATAGATTACGGGTAAGAATCCTATGCTCGTGAGCGCTTCTTGGGGTTCCAGGACCCCTAGCAGATTGAGGAGGGTAAACATCTCTGTAACTGTCACGGGCACTAAGCGGTGGTGAAGAGATCGGACTGTCAAGTTCATTATGTAATTTGTCTCGGTCTTCCGACATTTTATCTTCAGAATCCTCAGAAGGCGTCGATACATCTATACCGCTTTCATCTGAACCATTTCTTGAACGTTGTTGTTGCACATTCACACCAACTATTGTTTCGTTTAAACATTTACGTTTGTCGACGCGATCCAAGTTCCCTTTAGCACGACTTATTGTATCATAGTCTTTTGGGGGAAGGAGAATTGGCACTCCTTCTTTTTTCGAAACATTAAGCCTCTGTCTTAGCTCGTCTGTTACATTGTCGTATGCCATTACTTCCTTTAGACTTTGTAAATCTGGTTCAATATCATCCATGTCTGGAAAAGAATTCTCGCTGTACGTACTGGCACCGGAGTCGGCTGCAGAATCTGTTCTTGGGTCGCTATATCCATCTGATTCTATTAACCTAGGATCATGAATATGGCCTTTGCTGGCAAGAGACCTCTCAATTTCTTTTGTCCTTTCCGTGTGTACTGAGATGATGTTATTTAACAACTTCACATACTGAGCTGCGGTTTCGGCTGTATCAAACCTATATACGTGCACGTGAACGTATTTATTTGTTCTTGGAACATAACCTAAGTATATACATGCCACTATATCATCAGGTCGCCCCGTGTCTGGGTTTGTAGCTTGTGCTATGTAAGTAACATCACGAGTCGGGATAATGGGATAGTTCACGGTTTTTATTTTACGTTTCTTTTTTTCTTCAATGTCTTGAGAAATTTTAATTTCTTGATTGCTCACCTGCAATGTAAATTTAGGAGGATTGTGCCAATTCACCTGTTTCCGACGAAGATTTTCTACTACTGGGTCCGTATACTTCCTACCACGAAGTCCTTTAGTTTCGATCCACCCCAAAAATTCCACATAAAATTTCTGTGAATCCTTATTTTTATCCTTCTTTCCAAAAAATCGTGACATGTTCTTTTAAACTGTGTTGATTCAGTTTTTTTTAATAAACTACAAATAGTAAGTCATTCACAAGTCCTGTATATCTTGTTTTTCTCACAACAGTTTGTACCATCCAAGTCCTATAAAAGACAATACGAAAAATTATTTCGCCTTCACCTGTCGCGATAAATGTCACATGTATTTGAGAAATATTTGACAAGTTAAAGATTTTACATATCGTTCACGGAAGGCGTGTAATAGATATTTAAACCGGCTGTCAATATTATGTATGAGACTGTTTTTAAATGGTTCGGTTGGTCGATTTTGTCCTGATCCTTTCTAATTCTATCGCATACCAGGAGCTTATCATACAAATGGATAGGTCGACCTTAAATTTTTATTCAGAAAATATGAATAGGATCGGTATTTGGCAATGAAAGACGTTTCCATTTTAAAAAGATATGACGCGTGAAATTAGATATTTGTCATGCAGAATAAATATGGCACTCCATAAAACAGTAGTTTAAAATGTCAATCATAATTTATTGACAAAAAGGTGAATAATAAGTTCTAAATCGCAAAAACCAGAGGCTAAACGGAGCCTGGATCGTTCACCTGGCAATACTATGCAATATTTATAAACTTTGTTTCACTTTTCCGTGATCAATTATTTTTTCCAGAAAGAATTATTTGCTACTTAAAAAATTGCTGCCTTCCGTGTGATTGAAAAGAAATAAAGTCTTCCATTTTATTCAGTGCCAGGATCACATAAAAATTCGGTCGACAAATTATTTACAAACTCTTCCCAACTAGGCAGGTTAATGTGCTATGAACAAAATGCATTGATATAAAATAGTGAATGTTTAATTGAGGAATTAATTTCAAATTCAAGAGTCAAGTTATGATTGAAATATGAATATGCGTAAATCAAGTGTTTTTTAAAATCTATTTTCATTTGTATTTCAGATGCAGGATGGCCTGTAATAGAAAATATATAAAAATGCAATCGTTCTTGTTATGTTATTTTGTTTTTGTGTTAGTTTTTTTTTTACTTTGTTTAAACTTCCCCCTTTTTGTGAAACGGTGAGGACATCTTTAGGAATATCTAGAGATGATGAGCCAATCAACAACAGGAATAAAAAATGTGGTGGTTATCTGTTGTATAAATAAATAAGGAGATGTGGTAAGATTGCCAATTAGACGACTATCCACCAGAGTTCAAATGACGAAGATAAAAGCAATTTTATGTCACCATACGGCCTTCAGCAATGAGAAAAACCCATACCGTATAGTCAGCTACAAAAGTCCCCGACATGAAAAATGTGAGACAATTCAAACGAGAAAACTAACGGCCTAATTTATAATACAATTTACAAAAAAAAAATATGACAGACATGAACCAAAGGCAACCACTGAATTACAGGCTCCTGACTTGGGAAAGGCAGATAAAGATTGAGGCTGAGTTTAACATTTTTGGTGTTACAGCTAGCACAACATAAGAACAAACTGTACAAATCAGTTGCAAATGGCTTAAGCACAAATAAACCAACTAACATAAAAACAATAGACACAAAGCAGGCAATCAGAAGTTCTCCCATACGTTATGTCAAGATACCTTCACACTTTTTTATAAGGAAGTCGATTGAACTACGAAGGACGATTTTTTTCGGATGAGCGTATTCATTTTCAGATTCCGTACGGCTAAATATATAGTTCGACAGAATAATTATTTTCATACAGACTTGGGCAAAGTTATGTTCATATATTACCAAGCCAAAATATTCATTATTTTCCAAAATCCTCCTGCCCCCTTTTTACCCCATATCAAATAGATATCCCCTAATACAAAATACATTCTAAAGAACAATCCTACATGGTTTGTTTTCATTTGCCTTTATCTGTAACACATTCTTAAATGGAAACCAAAACGCAGCTTATCATAGCATTTCAATTTAATTAAACTTTGACCTCTACTGGTGGTATTTTCAAATTTGAAAGCAACAAAACTTGTAGAGCACCACAGGGACATGCATGGCAATTTTGGTTTCGTTTGGTTCAGGAGTTTTTTTTAAGATCTTTGAAAATCCAACAATGTGAACTAACTTGTTGGCCCGTTGAGGCCATTTTGAACTTATAATGCATGCCTAAAATAACAAGATCACTTACTAGTGAATACCTTTTCATGAATATTTCTTCATCAACGTCGCAATAATTTTTCAGGACGTCCACAAGAACATATCAGACAAGTTTTGTTTCAACTGTGTCAGTGGTTCTAGAGAAAAATATCTTTGTTTAACAAAGATATTTTTTTCAATAGTCAGACTAATAGGACTTCATTTTTTCCCTTTGAAGCCATATTGGATTTTCATCGGGACCAAAGATAAAATTTGGTAAGTCCCTTCTCTTGAAGATAATTGGTAAATTTTAACTAAATCAGCCGTTTCAGAGAAAGGTTTAAAAAAGTTCAGCCAGTCAGAAATAAGAAAAGGCGGTCATGCTTGTTTTAAGAATCGGAACGAAAGAAAGGATCTTGTGAACACATCGCTCACAAGTTTGGTTTCATTTTGCTGTCAATAGTTTTTGTCTTTTTTATAATATTTCATATTTCTATAAAAGTGTCGAAGATAATATGCAATAAATTTTTGACTTTTGAGGTATGTCTTGTCTGTGCGTTATTTTGTCAACGCATATTTGATCAAAAGAGGGGGCGAAAGATACCAAAGGGACATTCAAACTCATAAGTCGATCAACCTAACAGAAGTTTGTTATGAACAATGTCATAATAGCTGTTCCTGCTGGAAAAAATATTCTATACCTTTTATTCCGGAACACATTCTGTAATATTAATTTTGTTCCACTGTAAATCATTTCTTCCATTCGGAACTTATTTTATGAAGGAACTTCTTTTTCATGAAAATAGTACGATGCAAATGTTAAAATCTAATTAGGAAAATGAAAGGATGAACATCCCTAAGAACATCGAAGGAACGTTAAGTACAATGTACTCCCCAGAAAAATGTTATGTACTTCATCTTCTAGAAATTATATATCTATATAAATAATGATAAAATTGACGTAACCGCAAACTTCAATATGTAAACTATGTGCAAGTTTCAAAGTCAGTGAACTAAGACTTGCGGGGCGCAAGGTCAAGTAATATCTCCATGGAACCGATCGAGATATACCAATGCTATATCAACTGTTTACCAAATATCATTGACTAACTATTGGCAGTTCACTTCAAATTGAACTTATCAAACATGAGCAAAAGTTTCACTTAAAATGGAACATGACTGATAAGACAGTGTCAAATAAACTCCTTGGAAATGATATGTGTCAATGCTGATTTAACGGCATACCCGAAATATCATTGACTAACCATAAGTGGTTCCTCTTAAGCTGACATAATCACAAACTTTAACCATTGTTGACACCATCAACGCCGGAAACAGCTCGCTTATGCCGTTGTCGCAGGCGAGACAAAACGTTTAAATTGGTCAAAATTAGAAACAGTAATAAAAATCTTATAACGGATACCTTTCCGTCATAATAGTATTTTGTAGATATCGTACTGCTTATCATCTTATGCATGTGTGTGTGTGTGTGTCTAAAAGGTTCTGTTCATCTTATGCATGTGTGTGTGTGTCTAAGAGGGTCTGTTCATCTTATGCATGTGTGTGTGTGTCTAAGAGGTTCTGTTCATCTTATGCATGTGTGTGTGTGTGTCTAATAGGTTCTGTTCATCTTATGCATGTGTGTGTGTGTTTAAAAGGTTCTGTTCGTCTATTCTAGACAAACATTCTTAATTTAGTTGAAAATCGTCATTTATGTACAGTAACTTTTATAAGGTGTCCGTCTATGAACTGTTTATTATAAATCCTTTACAATGTAAGGACGTTTGGACTAGTAGACAAAAAAAAAGAGAAGATAACTGGAAAGGTAAAATGTGTCACTTGTTTCTCAAATAAAATAACTATGTAGTTTAAGTCAGAATTAGCATAATCAAGTTATCGGAGTTCGTTTGTTTTCAATATAAAAGTAAAATACATGACAAATCTGAAAACATTCAGAAAGATTTGTATCTATAAGGTAATAGAATCAGATGTAAAATTAAAGACTCAACACAATAACACAATGCATACATAGGTGTAATACTGCACTACATGTATGTATTTTTTTAGTAGTTTGCAATGATCGCTGGATGAAAATTGAAATTGTGTATTTAATTACCCTTTTTATGACAGGCCCTCAGATGACGATAGGAAAATAAATTATATCACATATATACATTCTTAGAGTAGCAATGGAAATGTACAAATTTTGTTGTAACGAATGTTTGCGAAGTGTTTTAAAGAACCTTAGCGATTCGTACAGATTGTTATCATTTCAGTGTATAAATGTTCAAAATATGTATAACAGAGCGACTTGTTGTAGCGAAGTAATTCCTATGAATGAATATGTATACAGACCTGCTAGTCAAATGCGTTTTGTTAAAATATACTTTTTCACTTTTTTGGTCTTTTGGAAAATGTTGTTTGTGCTGTATTTAGACCCCTCTACCAAGAAATTTGTTTTGCATGCACACGTATAAAAATTGCGGTTTTTATCAAACGCAGTCATAGGTTTGAACGGTGTTTTCAATTTAGACTTGTACATATATATACATATATAGAAATTATTCGATTGCTACTACATATTGTTTGCAAAAACGTGCTTCAAACAGTTCATGTTTCATATTGTCCCATGTTCTATCGAATTATGGAATATTTTCATGATCATTTTATATTAAATATCATATTTTTTTCTGTTGAGACAACAGTATTGAAAATTCCATGCTCGTTTTAAACAAATCAAAGGGATGAAAAGTGTTTTCTGTTAAATGACCATGTTTTAACAGTATGGCAGCCTATAGACGGCACAAAAAAATACCATTTGCAAATATGGATTTCACTTTACCATCATCAGATTTTCTTGTAACATTTATGTTGTATCTGTACGAGCTCTGACAGTTCTGTTAAGAAATTTAACAGTGAATAAAGTCCCATAAAGTTTCAGTGTTAATTGAATTGAAAAGGGGAGAATGAACCCCCGTTTTTTCTATATGTACATTTTTTGTGTTTTAATTATCATAGTAAATATTCCTTTAAGTCTTCTTGCTCTCATCCCTACATTTTTCCATACGTTTTTACAACAACAGTAGTCTATATATGAAGTGTCTCTGTTCTTAGTTGAAAATATATATATATATAGGAATATATAAACTACTGTTATTGTAAAATAGTATGTATAAGAGCAAGAACACATTAAATAAGTGAAAACAAGCTAAAATATTAAGGAATATTTACTTTAAAGAAGAAAACGCAACAAACAAAAAATATATAGAAAAAGGGGGTCCATTTCCCAAGCGCCTGTCAAACAAACGATACCGAGGGACAATAGAGAATCATAAGTCGGAAAAAAAAGACATCACCAAGACCTAAACAGCTAAAAGAAAAACGACATCAAAACAAACTGCAGTACACATAACCCATTATAGAAGTGTGAAGATGTTGTTTAGCATCTAATAAAAGAAAAAAAAACCCATTAAAACAAACAAACTTATTGAGTTTTTAGATTCTTTGGGGTCAACGTTGCATATTTATATTATTTGTTGTTTATGTGTGCGACATGAGATACTAACAATCCTATTGTTTATGTGTGTGACATGAGATACTAACAATCCTATTGTTTATGTGTGTGACATGAGATACTAACAATCCTATTGTTTATGCGTGTGACATGAGATACTAACAATCCTATTGTTTATGTGTGCGACATGAGATACTAACAATCCTATTGTTTATGTGTGCGACATGAGATACTAACAATCCTATTGTTTATGTGTGTGACATGAGATACTAACAATCCTATTATTTATGTGTGTGACATGAGATACTAACAATCTTATTGTTTATGTGTGCGACATGAGATACTAACAATCCTATTGTTTATGTGTGTGACATGAGATACTAACAATCCTATTGTTTATTGGTGTTACATGAGATACTAACAATCCTATTGTTTGGATTTTATACTAATATATATCTTTTACATAATAGTGGATTGGTACATAAATCTTTTCTAACCCTAAAGTGAATCGAAAACAAGATTTTCCATGACAAAGGATAACACAGGACTGTTACCAGTATAAATATAACAGACATTGAAAAATTATAATGGTCAAAATACAAACAATAAAACTTGCCCTTTCTAAAATGGAAGAAAGTAATTAAACTACCTATGAGTTGACGCACAATAATGTCTCGTCTACTACAACATTTGGTTTTCTAACACCTACTGAACTCTCAAAAGTGGGACAAACTCACCTTTACCATGAAATCTGTAAGGTGCACATTTCCATGTACATTATTTCACATAAAAAAATACTTTCATCATATCGCATCTGAATATCTTCGAACGTTTACTTCTTGCAACCAATACAATGACCGGATGTTGTTGACCCATATATATTTAATTGAAACATCTCTAATGAAAACTTAAAACTAACCACTGAAGCTTGAAAACTGAAGTCAAGGCATTATGTCAAATGTCAGTAAAGCAGGTGAAACAAATGGTTCAAAATATGGCATCCGGAATACAAAATGTTGGATTGCATTTTTTGTAATTTGCTGCAATGACCCTTAACCTATGACCTCAAATTCAAAACAAGTCTTTCTCACGTACCTCATCTGCCAAAACAAGTAAATAATAAGACGTCATCTTAAAATCGAAATTCCGGCCCGTTATCAGACTATAGTCTATCGATTGCTGCTGTGACCTAGAACTTTTACATAAGCTTCAAAATCAATACTTTAAAAATAAGAAGATGTGGTATGATTGCCAATCAAACTATCTATCCATCATGGTTCAAATATTTAAGCAATTATGTCTCCATACGGCCTTCTACTGACCACGTATATATCAGGTCACTATCACACTGTAACTAATAATATAGCCGGTTCAGCAACAAGTAAAAAGACATATGAAAAATTTGAGATACAGCCCAAACTATTAAGCAATATTTTCTCATGTTAAATATGGTTTATGATCCTTTTTGAATGTGCATTTCACTTTTTGTTTTTTAATTGTATTTAATGCTATGACAAAATTGTTTTTCGTCCGTAGTAATAAAGTTCAATGTAAAATATGAAGAATGGCATAGTATTGTATCCATGTAACTCCATGTATAAAGCACTATCACTAGCTGCTGAAATGTAAAAAAAAAAAGAAACAGGAATAAACATGACGCTTACTGAACCAGGTTTCACATACAGATTAGCATTACAGCCATGAGAACATCAAGTCCGTTGTATTGGAAAATACTTTATAATTCTATAAATGAAGATTATAAGAAGAAAAAAGTGCACGGAGAATATGCTAGCATCACTGATGAATATTAGTCGAAACAAGCCAGTGGTACATCTGACGGATCATGAGTATGGGAAATATAAGACCGTGTTGAGCCGTAGCAATCATCTACGCTGAACACAAGACCCGCACATCGGCTACGTATCTCTGTTACAGAGGGAGAACAAGTAGTCACCATCATGGTGGTGGTGTTCTGTGTAGAAGATCACTTCTGTAATCCCATCACAAAACCCAAAAAACATTTTCATAGGGTCACAGCTCTCCTTGACTCCTTATTTTGAACTGGGCAACAAATAAAACATTATATTGATTTGATTCGAGACGGGAAATAGATATATCGAAATAGCTCAATATTGAAGGCCTCAATATTCAAAAACTTATGACATAAGGATATGCATTCAGGAAAGAAAGGGCAGACATTCGTGTAAAATGGTCAGCCATAAAGCTAGAAATTGAGGGAAAATTAACGAAATATTCTTTATTAAGCTGAGGACAATCCATGCTTTGCAAATTTTAGGGGGGTGCACGCCCGCCACGCCCCGCCTGAATCTGCCCCTGTAGCATCAATATTTTTGGGACGAGAAAATCCATGCACACAAAAGTACCGGAAATTTTTGCAAAGAAGATGGGATTGACATCCCGTCAGTGAAAAAACCTCAAAGGCAAAATACTATGACTATTGCAGAACATATTTTTTGATGATTTTTGATTATCTTACTAAGATGGATTGAAAAATTAAATAACAGTAACACAACTGAGAACTGGATATGTTCAACATAAACAAACAAAAACTGACCTTAACTTCTGCACTCCATGGGTGTAGTCTCAACAAAATGCATTATGAAATGTACTCACTTTTAAATTGTTTATCCGATTACGCTTCGCTGCTCATATTTTGTTTGCTTGATATTTTCTGCTTGATCCCCAATTTATAAAATATTGTTGGTAAAGCAATTAACTTGCATTGTGAGGTTGAACATATCAATAAAATTTCCTATTATTTTATTGGTTTTGATCGATAAATTTTCACCTTATAAACAGTTATTTCAATAACATGACACAAAAGGGAGATTATCATCAGATATAAGCTTAGTTTATTATTTCTGTAAATAAATTATATGAGATTAATATGATTGGACCCCGAAAGCAAATCTACATTCCAAAGAAGATCAGATAAAGATTATTTGTTTTGATAGAAAGTTAATGCCACCAATACAATGAATATATTGAATGAGGTGATAATTGCATTCAATATTTGATTTTACGCGCACGGACCAGCATTGACGAAATAAACACTATTATTTTGTTAAATACTGTTCTAGTTTAAATGATATTAAAAATAATTCCTCTTAAAATTTAAGTATTTTGCATAATAGACCTACATTTTATAGGTTTGTAATTATTACCGCTTCTTGGTAATTACTGAAGATGGCTCTATGCGTTCAAATTGTTATCAGTGGCATAGGAGTAGACCGAAAAAGGGGGAAAATCTTCTAAAAGTGACAAGGGAAAAACCTGTTCTATGGTCTTATAGTCTAGAAGTTAGTCAGTGTTCTCTATCGTTTACATTTTTTATTTTTCTATAATTTTGTTCTCACTAAAAGTGGTGGGGGAGGCAAATACAGTTTTGTCACTCCACTTTTGACAGTAGAAGCAATAGACGCATATAACTATAAGTACATGCAAGTGAATATTGTACTTTTGATTTAATTAATTTTTCCTCGTTTGAACATTACTGAAGAATTTAAACTCACCAAAATGACAACATAAAGTCCTCAAAGTTATTTGTTACAATAAAACATGTCATCTTAAACTTTTTTTCATTGTTATGAGACAATTTACTACTCATTTCATTATCTTAAATGAATAGTTTATTGTAATCTTTTAAAGTTATGGAATGTGAACAACAGTTGACGATGTTTACACCAAAATTCTCTTCTGGTTTCCCAACAACGACCAAAGAAAGTTATTCAAACATTACATGTACTTTGAATCATTGAAAGAGACCGAAGTATCACGTAAACACGCCGTTTAAAGAGCACCAAACTTAGATATTAGCTCAATGTATAAGTTTTAGTTAATTGGAAGAACTTTTATTTTTTCGTTTTTTTTATAAGCAAGCATTTTTTAATATGCTTTATCGCTATTTCTTCAAATCCGGATAAGTTCTGAAATTAAACAACTTTTTCATTACGCCACACACCAGTTGCGGCTGTCTGGGGTCCTGTTTAAACAATGTATTGTACATGAAATTTTTCAAAGAGACATGATTAAACCATCGTAAACACTTCAAGCAAAGCATTTTTATGACTTAAATTTGCGTTTCAAAAAATTTGATCATTATCTATCAAAATTCAAAATGTTCACTTTCTAAACTTTTTCCTCTCTCATCTCATTACAGATGACCTTTGTTTTGCGACACTTGATCCAAATAGGAAGTTGTCTAAGGGACTTTTTTTCAAGTTGGACCAAAAAGCGATAAGGTGAACTGACAGATTTAAGGATTTTCGGTCGATTTATTGTCTGAAAACACAAATAGTTTGCCGATTTGATGCTTTACAAATGTTGGCTTTACTTTTGGCACTGTTCGGTTAGATTAACGTTTATGTTAGAATTTGGATTTTTGAACATTTTGGTCATCACAGTAACAAATATTGTCTCATACAGTGTAGTAACATTGGCACCGTAACAAATTTTCTCATACAGTGTAGTAACATTGGCACCGTAACAAATATTGTCTCATACAGTGTAGTAACATTGGCACCGTAACAAATATTGTCTCATACAGTGTAGTAACATTGGCATCGTTTAATGTTATCAAAGAATAAGTATGATTAGGCCACTTTTTCGGCCCGCGAATTAAAAAAAACTAAAGATATAATATAAATATCAAATAACAAAATAGACTTTTTTGAATTGTAAAAAAATAAGGCAAAAATCACAAATTTTGAAAAACATCTGTTTATGTTAGGATTGCTACGAAAATTGATATATAGGTATACTATACTATTTCAAATTGGTTGCCTTTGATAAATTTGCAGAAAAGACTTAGTTTTTGTTTACAGTTTTGAGAAGCATTTTGTGCTGGGATTTTCAATGAAAATTAATGTATATGTCAAGTATGATATTTAAAATTGCCCGGTGCCGAAAATTATCCGTCGGCCATGAATTTTTGAAATGACTACCAAAATACATAAAATATACAGTCAATAGGGAATTAATAAAAACTTGATATTTACTTAGAACATATCCTGAATTATTTCTTGGTGTCCAAGTTAACGAAATTGATATCCCATGAAATATATTGCCTTGTTGAAGTAGTATTAAATATTTGTTTCTGTGCACCACACTCAAATTTGCAAGCAGGAACCTTCCTGACATATCAATTTATGTTTTATCTTAATATAAAAATAAGAAGATACGGTATAATTACCAATGAGACAAGTATCCACGTGAGACCAAATGACGTAAAAGTTAGCAACAATAGGTCACCATACGACCATCAATAATGAGCAAAACAAATACCACATAGTAAAAGGCCCGACATGAAAAATGTAAAATAATCTGATTAATGTACAAACTAATAAACGAAAAACAAATACAATATACAGCAACAAAGGACAACTACTGAATAACAGGCTCCTAAACATGGAGTATGATCCTGTTGTCGGAGTACTTCTTACTATCTACACATCTAGAAAGTAAAAAAAAAAACATATGAAGATACCATCTTCTAAAATATCCCCCTCAGGAAACCCCCAGATTTGTATCGTGGTGGCCTTTAATTTGTTGAAACTTTAAAAAAAAAATAATCATTACAAAGCCTGATTGTCATATAGTACCAATCACAAAGTGCCAACTTGTTGTATCAGGGAGGGAGAAATATATTCCAGTCGTATCAAAAAGTTTTCAAGACTACGAATTAACTACTACAAGGAAAAATGGAGTTTGGTAACGTGTCATACCGTTTATGGTGATGACCACAGGTGAATACTGTTTTATAAGGACTCAACATGATTTGCTTATTTAAATGATCAATATTGAATTAATCGACGTTGGAATGTAATTTATGAATGGTTGGGTTTACTGAGATGAAGTAGTAGGCCATAACACTCAGTAGTCTTTATAAATATTGACCTATTTAAAATAAGTATTTTGTTAAACTTCATTTAAATATATAATGAACTGAAAGGTTTTGATATTTGGGGTGAAAGATCTTGGACCTATTGCCTTAGTTCTAATAAACCGTGTAATACCTATTAAAATGAATTCCACTACTGCATCGTTAATTTACGGCATTTGTTGAGGACACATGTCTCTGGAATAGTTGTCATCAAGTATACTTGAGAAAAAAGTTTCGATAGCATCAAAGCAATATTGAGCCTAATGAGTTTTTAATATGGGTATGAAAAAACTCGTCAAAGATACTACAATTTTAAAGAAGTAAATATTTTACATTTTTGAAAAATGACATTTCCCAAAAGACTTTTGATAAACCTGAGCAGTATTTACGTACTTTTTGAGGGTGTCGTACCCGTCGCATTGTCTTTTTGTCAAACTTGTAGGTGATATACATGTGACAACTTTACGACAGACTTTCTCAATCGGATAACCCGTAGTTGTAAAGGCCCACGATGTTACAGAAGCAGTGGTTCGTATCCCGTTGATGGAAGAACAAACATTTGCGAACGGAAATTTGTAGATCTTACATTGTTGGGCTGAATTTGAAACGAAGTATATATACATTATGGTGTTAGCCCTGTATAACAACGGGTTATCTGATGGAGAAAGTCTGTCGTAAAGTTGTCACTTGTTTAGACGTATATATAATAAAATTAAAATTAGATGTGACGGCATGGTAAGTAACATTATCATCCTTTACGATAAACGAAACATAGCTGATCTGAAAGGTTCACCATCTACTTGCCACTATACATCATGTACTGTGTTAAAACCCTAGATAAAGCCGACAAGGAAAGGGATTCCTCGACTAACGAAATTATATTTTTATACAGCCTAGTGGTCGAGTGGTCCTGAGGGCTGGACACAGTTCAGGCGGTGTTGCCAAGATGTTACAGACGCAGGGGTTGTTGGGCTAAATTTGAAACGAGGTATATATAAACTATGGTGTTAGTCCTGTATAACCACGGGTTATCCGATAGAGAACATCTGTCGAAAAGTTGTCACATGTTTAGACGTCTATGATAAAAATAGAATTTGATCTGACGTCATAGTATGTAACATTATCGCTCACTCGACATAAAACTTCATATTGTGACTCGCAGCTGATATTTTACAATATCAATATGCAGACAACCTGATAATCAGTACTGGTCACCCTTTACGACAGACAAAGCATAGCTGATCTGAAAGGTACACCATCTACTAGACACTATACATCATGTTTAGTTTTACAATCCTAGATAAAGCCGATGAGGAAATGCGTTACTAGACTAACGAAAGCGATATTTTTAAATATATATAGTAGCCTATTTGGTCGAGTTGTTTGGGGCGCTGGACACTTTGATGCGGTGTTGCCACGATGTCAAAGAAGCAGGGGTTAGAATCCCGCCGAGAGTAGAACAAACATTTGCGATATCTAACATTGCTGGGCTAAATTTGAGACGAAGTATGTGACTGTGTATATATAGAATAGTCAGTAGATTGAGATCTGCCCTAGTGTGGTCAGGGGATTTCAAATGTCGACTGAGAGGAAGGTCTGGCTTACATTTATAGTAACTACGATGGGCGTTCATACGTTTATGAAATGGCTTTTCTGACTCACCAACATACTGTTTACCACATTTTCACTAAAGAAGATAAACAGTATTTGTAGTCTTGCAAGTAACATTGCAAAATA